CAAACCCGGGAGAAAGCGGGTTTAAAATTTCTTTTGGGAAGTTTTGTTTTCCCTTTATAATTGTAAAGAGGGTAAAGTTTTTAACCTTTTATTGGGGGTTTTTCTATTGGGTGGTAAATTGGCAATTTGGAAGGGGACCAATTCGGAAACTCCTTGCCTTATTTTGTGCTTGGTTTTTCCAAGTTGAAAATGATTGAATTTTTTTAAATTGAAACCCTTTAAGGAATCAAGATTTTGAAACTTTCAAGAATTTTAATCTCTAGGGTCCCGAAATTTTTTGAACAAGAATTTCTTTTTGGAAGAGGAACAAGGCCTGTATTGGAGAACATCAAGAAACCGTATCTGAACCTTAACACCGTTTTATTTCTAATCAGCCGCTAGATTGAAAAAGAATTTGTTGTCTTTTTAGTTCAAGAGATCAGACTAATATTTTTGCAATGTATACATTGATGCAAAGAGATTCCAGCCTATTTCCAGAGTTATCTAATTTTTATGAAGCATACGTTAAAAAAGCTGGTGAAATAGAAATATCACAACTATTAACGGAGCATAGAGCTCGTATTTTGAATGGCACTGAACCATCACCAAAGAGACAAAATGTAAACCCAATGAATTCATTACCACCAAAAGAATATATCAAAAAGCTAATTGAAGTTTATCGTACATTTCAAACAATTACCCATGAATGTTTCCTTGGAGATTCATTATTTACAAAAGCATTGGATAATGCATGTAGAGCATATGTCAACGATAATGAGTACGCATTAGGAATGGGCAACTCAAAATCAGCTACATCCAGAACTCCTGAGATGTTAGCTAGATATAGTGATCAGTTATTAAAAAAATCTACTAAACCTGAGATTTCTCATGACATGAGCGTTGACGATATTATGATGATATTTAAATTTTTGACAGATAAAGATGCATTTGAATCACATTATAGAAGATTATTTGCAAAGAGATTGATCCATGGTACTTCAACCAGTGATACTGACGAGGAATCTGTGATTCAAAGATTACAGAGTGAAAATAGTATGGAATACACAGGTAAGATAGCCAAAATGTTCCAAGATGTCAGATTATCCAAGTTACTAGAAGATGAGTTTGAATCATATGCAAAGAACTTACCTGATTTCTCTAGGGAAAGATATCCCGAGTTAGAACCGTTTGTGTTAGCAGAAACGATGTGGCCATTTTCATATCAAGAGGTTGGATTTAACTTGCCACCTGATTTAAAACCATCCTATGAAAAATTGGAGGAATTATACACTACCAAGCACAATGGTCGTATATTAAAATGGTTATTCCCATTATGTCGTGGTGAATTAAAGGCCAATATCGGTAAGCCAGGTAGACCACCATTTAACTTTACAGTAACCTTATTTCAAATGTCAATATTGTTATTGTTTAATGATGAGAAATTGTCTGAGAACCCAGTACTAACTCTAGAAGAGATTCAAGAAGGTACCAATCTTTCAGTTAATAACATTGCAGCATCGATGATACCATTTATTAAATATAAGTTGATTCAACAAGTACCACCAGGGTTAGAAGCACTAATCAAACCAGATACTCAATTTAAATTATCTACCCCATATAAAGCATTAAAGAGTAGGATAAATTTTGCAAGTGGTGTTAAAAATGATGTATTGAATTTAATTCAAGCCAGTAATAGTACAAATAATAATAATAGCAATAGCAATTCAGCACAAAGTCAAGGCTCACAATTAGATGATGGTATATCAGAGAATGAAAAAATCGAGAAAGAATTAAATAAAGAAAGACAAATATTCCTTGAGGCATGCATTGTAAGAATAATGAAAGCTAAAAGGAAATCACCACATACAACACTAGTTAACGAATGTATTGCACAATCACATCAACGATTTAATGCAAAGGTTTCAATGATTAAAAAGGCTATCGACTCATTAATCCAAAAAGAATATTTACAAAGATGTGATGACGGAGAATCTTACCAATATCTAGCATAATCAATATCTCCTTACCCCCCTCTCATCATTCATCCTTTCATTTCATATGGTTAACAACATTTAAATATATAGTGAAGGCAAGAATATAAATATAAATATAAGTATAAATATAAATATAAATATGAAATTGAATCAAAATAATAATTACATATTAAATATCGAATATGATGAATGATATCCACAGTCACATGACTAAGAATCAGTATTAAATACCTTTTACTATTTCGAAACCCAATCCCATCACCATCATCACCACCATCATTCATATTCTTTTTAACTTCTACCTCTTGGTGTTAGATCTCGTAACTGGTAATTCCATTGGGAATCATGAGAACACGCTTATAAGAATCCATTGGAAAACAGTTAAACCTTGTCCAACGTTGCAAAGGATTAAAACTACACCAAAACTACTTAAAACGAACAAAGTCATTCGAATATCACACAAATTTCAAAGTAAAGTAAGAAGAACATTGCATATCTACTCAAATATTCCATGGGAAACAACCACATTTACCCTATCCTATCCTATCCTATCCTATCCTATTTTTTACTCTCTCTATTCCAGTAATTATTGACTTCTCTTGCCTTCAGTTTCTTGTTTCATCGTTCCCCATGAAGTCCCATGAGTCATCACCACCATCATCATCTGTTTTGTTCTAAAAGTAAAGGTCAGTTCATGCAACTTTAATGAACTAAAACAGTTCTTGTTACTTGATATACAAGAATAAAATGATGACGAAGAGTTCCCACTGGGAAATTGATCAAGGAGTGTTAGTTTGTTGTTTTTTTTGGTTTTTGGTTTTTGGTTTTTGTTTTAAGCTGATGGTGCAGCTTAGATGCTGTTTCTATCCCCTTTGCTTTGCTTTGCTTTCTTTTTCTTTACAGATCAAACTCTCTCTAGCTAGCAAGATTTCATGAATATCCCAGCCCTTTTGATAGCTTATTCATTATTCCAAGGTAATTTAGTTTAGTTTAGTTCAACTCAATATAGATCAGTCCAGCCCAGTTCTAGCAGTCCAAGTTCATCGTTATGGAGTTGGTCTTTGATTTCTTGTCTCGAGTCATGATGGTCTTACAGTCCGTATGACACATCTAACTCTGTCTTGTGCAATTGTTGATGTCATCATGCACTTATATTAGTTTATAAGGGTTCTCTAAAATTGATGATGGTTTGACTAATACTTTGATCTGTTAACAGCATATATAAATAGCAAGGGTTAATCTCTCAAATTATATATTCTTGTTCTTGCTTTTCAAATCACATTTTCTTATTACTTTTCTTGCTTGTTATTGTCAAATACCAAGCTGTATAGATCAGAAATACTATTGACTTGTATATAGGACACTATTATTCAAGGTCAAGGTCAAGGTCAAACTTAAGATCAAGGGTAAATATTAAACATGAGTGATAATAACGAATTTCAAAAAGTGACAGAAACTGCTTCTGTTACAGCTTTCCAACAGAATCCATATGGTCCAAATCCTGCTGATTATTTATCGAATGTACAAAATTTCCAATTAATTGATTCAACTTTAAGAGAAGGTGAACAATTTGCCAATTCTTTCTTTACCACTGAGAAAAAGATTGAAATTGCCAAAGCTTTGGATGAATTTGGTGTCGATTATATCGAATTAACTTCTCCTGTTGCCTCTGAACAGTCAAGAAAAGATTGTGAAGCTATATGTCAGTTAGGTTTAAATGCTAAGATTTTAACTCACATTCGTTGTCATATGGATGATGCTAAAGTTGCTGTAGAGACAGGTGTAGATGGTGTAGATGTAGTCATTGGCACTTCTAAGTTTCTAAGACAATATTCTCATGGTAAAGATATGAATTATATTGCAAAGAGTGCAATTGAAGTCATCGAATTCGTCAAATCTAAAGGTATAGAGATCAGATTCTCTTCTGAAGATTCCTTTAGAAGTGATCTAGTCGATTTATTAAATATTTACAAGACTGTCTCTAAAATTGGTGTTAACAGAGTCGGTATAGCTGATACTGTTGGTTGTGCTAATCCAAGACAAGTTTACGAATTAGTCAGAACTTTGAAAAGTGTTGTTTCTTGTGACATCGAATGCCATTTCCATAATGATACTGGTTGTGCAATTGCAAATGCTTATACCGCTTTAGAAGGTGGCGCCCGTTTAATTGATGTCTGTGTTTTAGGTATCGGTGAAAGAAATGGTATTACTCCATTAGGTGGGTTAATGGCTCGTATGATTGTTGCTGCCCCAGATTATGTTAAGTCTAAATATAAATTGCATAAATTAAGAGATCTAGAGAATTTAGTTGCCGATTCTGTAGAGGTAAATATCCCATTCAACAATCCAATCACTGGTTTCTGTGCTTTCACACACAAAGCAGGTATTCATGCTAAGGCAATTTTAGCCAATCCCTCTACTTATGAAATTTTGAATCCTCAAGATTTCGGTCTAACTAGATATATTCATTTTGCAAACAGATTAACTGGTTGGAATGCTATTAAATCAAGAGTCGATCAGTTAAACTTACATTTAACTGATGAACAAGTTAAAGAAGTCACCAATAAGATCAAAAAATTAGGTGACATCAGACCTTTGAATATCGATGATGTAGATTCCATCATTAAGGATTATCATATTGAAGTGAGCACCCCAAGTATAGCCCCACAAAGGGACTCTCCAGAGGTAGATTCCAATATCGATATTAACTCCGATGGACCACCTTTGAAGAAGGCCAAAACTGCAGCAAAATAGGAAACCTTTGTTAATTATGTACATTTATTATTACGTTACTGGTACAGATACAAGAAACATTATAAAGGATCATATTTTACTGAGCTAAACATACATGGAGATTCACTATTCTTAAAGTATCAGGAAAGATGGAGGAATATATCAAATTTTAGAATGCCAGATTTATGAATCGAATTTGCAAATACTAAAGGTGCAATGTTTTAATGATCAACGACCTGATAGAAAATCGATTTTATAAGGTACTTGTTTACCAATTTGGTTTGTAATATTTACTTTTGAGAAGTTAGAATTTTTTTATGACTTCCCATATCTCCTCCCCTTAAGACAAGTCATTAGTTGATGGCGTGGTAGATACGCTTAGAATAGGTATATAAAGAATATTAATTAATAAGATACAATATGTAACGTTCGTTTTGTTTGTTTGTTTGTTTTAATTCAATTAGTTATTCCAAATTGATATAGATCTACTGGGTTTCATCAAGATTTCTCTCAAGATGTTCAGCCGTTCTTTTGTTTATATACGGCTTGATTCCAATCAATAATCATTATCAATTCTGTGACGGGCTGAAGGGACGAATAAAAGAATCAAGATGGAGTAGGTAGGGAGAGGGGATGGCAGATGTTTTTGTTTTTCATTTTCGTATTTTCACCAATGATCACGTGTACAATGAAGTAAATTTTTTAGGGGTAATACACTTTCAAGTGACTTCCAACACCTATACACCGTTTACTAAAACCCTACACCACAACCGCTGCTTTCATTCCTATTCCTAATATACCTGGGAGACCACAGGAGAAGCCATAATAATACAAAACACATGCTCTCGGCTATCCTTTCTCGCCAAGTGTGCTAGAGAAACAGACGCAATATTTCGTTTTGTTTGAAAAATTTGTTTCAGTTTCGTTTGAGATGACTGTAATTTTTCACTTCGTTTCATGCCTTTAACCAAATCGATTGATGGATAGATAGCAGAACTACTACTGAATTCAATGTTGAATTAACTAGTTTCTTAACACTTAACCATTGAACATTTCCAAGCAATACTCTCAACAACATCACAATTAGCTATTATTCGTCAGTTGTTGATCTTTGTATGGTTGGTTTACTTTCTCTTTTACTCTATTGCTTCTTGATGCTAAGATCATCTCTGAGTCCTCAATTTTGAACTTACCAATATACTGATTCTTAGTATTAGTTAAATGACTTGAAAGGTTAGCTATATATTAACCTATATCTTGATAGTTATTAATATCCTTAAATAATTCTAATTCTTGCCCAGAAGGAGAGATCCCCATATATACAAAACATACAAGAAATGTCTGACGCCGTCATCTCTTATGCTTCTTTCATCCTAGCTGATGCTGGTTTGGATATCACCGCTGAAAACTTGTTGACTTTGACCAAGGCTGCTGGTGCTAACATTGAAACCGTATGTTACAATTAAGTTTATATCAATTACACGATTTTACCATTTAAAAATCCCCATTCAAGAATATGTTCCTTTTTTTACTAACTGATTACTTTAACAATAAATAAGATAACAATTGATTGATTCTATAAGCATAACATATATTAAACTATCGCTATTTCGATAAGCTGGGGATTTCATGCATATATGTGTCCGTTTGCTAAGAATAGGTTTTAATATTGCTATTTTATTTTGATCAACTGTCAATTGTTATTATTACTATAATTGCTATTATTATTTATAGGTCTGGGCTGATGTTTTCGCTTCTGCTTTGGAAGGTAAGGACTTGAAAGAAATCTTGTCTGGTTTCCACAACGCTGGTCCAGCTGTTGCTGCTTCTGGTGCTGCTGCTTCTGGTTCCGCTGGTGCTGAAGCCGCTGCTGAAGAAGAAGCTGCTGCTGAAGAATCTGAAGAAGATGATGACATGGGTTTCGGTTTATTCGATTAAACTTAATTAATAATTGAGAACATAAAGATTTCATTATTTTATATTTTTTTAGTTTCAAGATCGAATTTTTACATTGTTTTACTATAATAAATATCATTTTCAAATAACAAACAAAACTTAACCATAATATTATTATAATTCCTATTCTTATTATTATAATCCTTATTGTTCCATGCTTTAATTCGTTGCTCCTATTTATCAATTAATTCACCCAGAAGGGAAACCTTCACGGGATAACTTGATAAACAAGACTAAAAAAAATGAACACATGTGGATTCCTCTTAATAAAATTTAGACTATGATAGTTTCCCATCTCTTCAATATTACACACTCTTGAGACAAGTAACAAGTTATCTTTGTCATAATAAGCCTCGGTTAATAAAGGAAACTTCTCATTCTCTTCATATATCGAAACTAAATTACTGGTATCATTACAATATTATAGTAACAATTGAATTGATTCCATTGCCTTCACCCCTCTTTAAAATCACTGGTCGTTTGAGGTATTACTTTTGAGACCATACTTGCATTTTTATCCCAGTAGATGGATGCCTTACTTAACTATGATAATTTCTCTATATAACTCATAGTTAACGAACCGAAACATACCTAAAGGAACCAAATCCAAACTCATCCTTATTATGTAAAAGCCACTGTATCATCATTTTTATAATAGATCAAATTGAAAGAAGCTATTCATCCAATTGATTAACTTTGCATATTTCTATACATACATATATATACTTCTATACATCGAGAGGTTAAGGTTGTTGTATTCTTAATATTGGTGTATAAATTGGATATAATATCAAGACTGAAATAACTAAAGATGGATGCTTCTGCGCCTTTATTGGCAGATTCAAATAATGCAAGACATAGACCATCTACTTTAAAGGCTGCTTTGACTGATATAGCTTATGTCTATAATTCAGCACCTGTTAATGTATTGCTAATTTTTGTTCCAATTGGTTTAATTTGGGGGTTTTTAGGTTTGTCACATACTTGGACTTTTGTATTTAATTTCTTGGCAATTGTTCCATTAGCAACTATATTGGCATATGCTACTGAAGAGTTGGCTAATAAAGCAGGTTCAACAATTGGTGGGTTATTAAATGCTACTTTTGGTAATGCTGTGGAATTAATTGTCTCTGTTATTGCTTTGAAAGAAGGTCAAGTAAGAATTGTTCAAGCTTCAATGCTTGGTAGTTTACTATCAAACTTATTGTTAGTCTTAGGGTTCTGTTTTCTGTTTGGTGGTTATGGAAGAGTTCAACAAACTTTTAACCAAACCGCTGCTCAAACAATGTCTTCCTTATTAGCTATATCATGCGCATCTCTATTACTACCTGCCGCTTTTAAGGCAACTTTACCAGACTCAAAAGATGACGCTGCTTGGATTGATGCTAAAATTTTAGCATTCTCAAGAGGTACTTCTATCATCTTACTGGTTGTCTATATGTTATTCTTATACTTCCAATTAAGCACTCATAACGCAATGTTTGAGGAACAAGTTGAAGAAACTGATGAAGTCATGAGTCAAATTTCAAGCACTCCTCATCATTGTCTAAGTATCAAATCATCTTTGATCTTCCTTGCTGGTTCTACTATAGTCGTATCTATCTGTGCCGACTTCTTAGTAGGTACAATTGATCAGGTTGTCGAATCAACAGGTTTATCAAAGACTTTTATTGGTTTAATCGTAATCCCAATCGTTGGTAACGCTGCTGAACATGTTACTTCTGTCATGGTTGCAATGAAAGACAAGATGGATTTAGCTTTAAGTATTGCCATTGGTTCTTCTTTGGAAATTGCATTGTTTGTCACTCCATTCATGGTTTTAGTCGGTTGGGCAATTGATGTTCCAATGACTTTGAATTTTTCCACTTTTGAAACCACTACATTATTCATTTCCGTCTTTTTATCCAACTACTTGATCTTAGACGGTGAATCCAATTGGTTAGAAGGTTGTATGTCATTGGCGATGTACTTATTAATCGCAATGGCCTTCTACTACTACCCAGATGAAGAAGCATTGAAAAATATCGGTGAAAAAGTTTTGACAAACAATTAAACAACATAACATGTAAAGATACAAACAATTAAAAATTTACGATATAAGATTCACCTTTCTAGACATTTATTTTTACAACTGCTCCCCACTCCTCACTCCATTGCTTCTAAAAATCTTCAACCACTCAGAGCCTGAGAATTATGGACAATACCTGGTAACTTTTATAACTGACTTATATTTAATAATATAAAAAATATCACATCAACAAATATATATATATAATTACAAGCTTAATTAACCATCGCAACATAACAACTCCTGCAAACACCTTGGTGTAATGAACTGTAGTGGGTAGCCACTGATTCATTGATAAATCTAGAACAAGCTATCATTAAAATAAGTTTGGAGCATTGCTTTCTTTTGATTATTTTATTTTTTAGTGGGGAGTGATAGGCCATCAATCAATCGTATATCAATTAAACAAGCGTTAATACCTCAATTAGCAAGTAATTACTCCTTTTTTGCTGGTTTCTTATCAATCTTGCTTACTTGTTCAGCTATATAGGCTCTTCGAATCGAATGTAACACGAAAATAAATTTAAAATTCAAAATCTTTTCGTGTCGCGTCTGTCATCATCACCATGTAATTAATTACATCAAATAATATTTCGAGAGCGAAAAGTTTCATTAAATATTGCAACTACTAAATAGGAAGGAATCGCAATAAGTGGTATAATAGCAAACTTGCATTTAATTGGAATGAATTTATTTTATTTTACCAACTAGTCTCTTCTCAATGGGTTTGCATTTATATAAATATATATGTATCTATATAAATGGTTTTGCTTTAGGCGACTGTATTGCATTTGCAAGTAAAAATGATCTTGGGATAAGGAAATAACTATACACACAGTGTAAAAATTAGATATTTTATCAATTATATAACCAGGATATTTAAGTCTTCAAACTTTCAATCGTTTGTGCTTGATTTAGCAACTTTCAATACTTACAACTATTTTTTTTTCTACCAACTATAATACATTCGTTAAAATACATTTTACTACTAATAATTAATTTAAATATCTGAAAGTTTCAAACAGTTCAACAATGTCACAACAAGAAGCTTTATCTTATTTTATAAGGCAACCAGTTTCACACGATATGATTTGTTTCTTGGCTTCGACTACCGATTCGATCATACAACTGAAGCCAAGTTCAAATGAAGCTAATATTCCTTCTATTTTTGAATTTATAAAAGGATTGATAAAACATTCTAATGTTCAAACATCAACTTTGATGGCGTCTACAGTTTATTTGACAAAATTAAGATCCATATTGCCTGCCAATGTTTATGGTATAGAATCAACAAAGCATAGAATATTTTTGGGATGTCTTATATTAGCAGCCAAAAGTTTAAACGATTCTTCACCATTAAACAAACATTGGACAAAATATACCAATGGCTTATTAAATTTAGCTGATGTGAATACTATAGAACGTGAATTACTTGCATATCTAAATTGGGACACGATAATAAAACAAGAAGATTTAATAGGATGTCTGTCATCATTTTTGAAACCAATTCAAGATAAATTGCTATTGCAATACCACTCAAGATCGACCTCAAACACAAGTCGTATATCCTATAACTCTTCACAAAAGAAATTTTACTCAAATGTACCCAACAAATCATCAACATATGTATCAAACTCATCAATTCCTTCACTTTTGTCAAATTCAACGATATCTACTGCTGAGTCTCTAAGTTCTATATCTTCATATAATAGTAGCAGCTTGAGAGATAGCCAGAACAATACTAACATGGTTACAATAAGGGAAGATGAGGATAAACTAGGAGATAATACTAAAGAAATATTTTATTTTAAAAATCCTGATAGATTACCATTGCATGATAAAGATGTAAATATAACTCAAAAAATGTCAACTCAGAGCACAAGGCCAATTATATTGAAAAGCTCATTTAGTGAAAAACATGGTGGAAAATTCACTAGATCAGGTTGGCAATCAATCTTCCACTAGTGAAATATGCACAAGAAATGACTAAAGAAAACAATCTTTATACAAATTAAACTTAATAAAACTTTTATAATTATATAATTAGGTAATGGGAATGAATATGCTATATCGTTTGGTTTTAAATAATTAATTTAGATCAACATATATGAAATTTACTAAAAAAAAATTAAAAAAGAAAAAAAATAACTTAATTAAACCATCAAAAATTTACTATTTATATAGATTGATATAGTTATGACTTTAACATCATGAATTGGTATAAAAAATATGCAATCGAACTCCTATAACTTTAAGTTATAATTAACTGTACAAATCATCATCATCTGCTTCATTAGAACCAAATGCAGCACCAGCGCCAGATCCTGCATTTCCTGAATTATTAGCGTTGGAACCCAATGCTGAGTCGTTAAAGCTAAAATTACTGAATTGGCCTCTTGATGCTTTCATTTGTTGTGAATATGCTTCGTAACGACGTAATTCAGCATCAGAAACAGAACGTTTGGCAGTTTTCATAGCTTCTGCAAAATGTTCTCTGGTGATGTAAGGAACTGGATCGACTTCTTCTTCTTCTTTTACCTTTTCAGCTTTAGTGTCATCCATTTCAACATCTTCTTCAGATTTTACCCTTTGTGCCTCAATAGATTCCTTGATGGCAAATTTGGCAGCTCTTTGAACAATATACGACAAATCAGCACCAGAAAATCCTTGGGTAGTTTTAGCAATGGCACCTAAATCTAAACCAGGTTCAAGTGGGGTCTTTCTCAATTGTGCGTTCAAGATTGATAATCTAGCAGGTTCATCTGGTAATGGAACGTAAATCAATTGATCCAATCTACCTGGTCTTAAAATAGCCGGGTCGATTTGGTCTGGTCTGTTTGTAGCACCAATAACGAAAACGTTCTTCTTAGCATTCATACCATCCATTTCTGTTAATAATTGGTTGACAACTCTATCAGAAGCACCACCAGCGTCACCTAAGGAACCACCTCTTGCCTTTGCAATCGAATCCAATTCATCCAAGAAAACAACTGTTGGAGCAGCAGCTCTAGCCTTGTCGAAAATGTCACGAATATTAGACTCAGATTCACCATACCACATACTCAATAATTCAGGACCTTTGACAGAAATAAAATTTGCAGATACCTCAGTAGCAACTGCCTTGGCTAATAAAGTTTTACCAGTACCTGGTGGACCGTAAAACAAAACACCTTTAGATGGAGATAAACCAAATTTAGTATATTGATCTGGATGCAAAACTGGGTATTCAACAGTTTCTTTCAATTCGTTTTTGATATCTTCCAAACCACCAATATCATCCCAAGTAACGTTGACACTTTCAACAACAGTTTCACGTAAAGCAGATGGATTAGAGTTACCTAATGCAAATCTGAAGTTATCCATAGTAACACCTAGGGAATCTAGCACTTCTGCATCAATTTCATCTTCCTCTAAATCAATCAAGTCCATCTTTTCACGGATTTGTTGCATAGCAGCTTCAGAACATAGAGATGCAATATCAGCACCGACATAACCATGAGTTTCAGCTGCCAAAGATTCCAAATCGACATCATCAACTAATTTCATGTTTTTAGTATGAATACGTAATACTTCTAATCTACCAGTAGCATCTGGAATACCAATATCAACTTCACGATCAAATCTTCCAAATCTTCTTAAAGCAGGATCAATAGAGTTTGGTCTGTTGGTTGCAGCAATGACAACAACATTTGATCTAGCCTTCATACCATCCATCAATGTCAACAATTGAGAAACCACTCTTCTTTCAACTTCACCATTAGTTTTATCTCTTTTTGGAGCAATAGAATCGATTTCATCAATAAAGATAATAGCTGGTGCATTTTTTTCAGCTTCTTCGAAAGCTTTTCTCAAGTTAGATTCAGATTCACCAGCCATCTTAGACATAACTTCTGGACCATTAATCAAAAAGAAGAATGCACCAGTTTCGTTAGCAACAGCTCTAGCCATCAAAGTTTTACCTGTACCTGGTGGACCGTACATTAGAACACCTCTTGGTGGTTTAATACCGATAGTTTTAAATAATTGTGGGTGTCTCAATGGCAATTCAACCATTTCTCTGATTTGAGCCATTTGTTTACGGCAACCACCAATATCATCATAACCAACATCGTTTAAATTATTTTCCTCATCTTCTCTGTTAATTGGTTCACCTTCCCAGTGAATAATTGTATCTTGAGCAACCACAGCGTATTCATCAGGTTCAACATCTACAACTTTGAATTCAACTTGTCTCATACCACCTCTTACTACAAAATGGTCGCCTTTTCTAACTGGTCTATAAGCTTCAACAAAGTATGGTTTTAAAAAGACATCGAACAAATTACCAGTGATACCTTCAATGGTATCAGCAATTGGCAATACAGAGATTCTTGTAGCGTATTTAATATCAGGACATGGATGAATGGTTACAATATCACCCAGTCTAATACGTAAGTTATTTCTAACTACACGATTAATTCTACAAGCACCATCTTCCAAATCATCATCGATCAAAACGATCAACACTGTATCTCTTCTTTTTTTACCTTTTACCAATACTGTATCACCACGGAATAGCTCTAATTTATCCATAGTATTAGAATTAATTGCAATAACAGAGTTATCATCATTAATAGCGTCATCAACTAATAAAGAGTTTGGCTTTTGTTTTCTTTTCAAAATTGCAGTTGCAGTAGGATCTTCAACGTGCTCAGCACCAGAAGCATCTAATAAAGGTTTCTTTTCTTCGCCCATTTCCTGCTTATCTTAATTTATACTATTGTTATTATTATTATTATTATTATTATTATTGCTTTTCTTATAAGGGTTCAACTTATGTTCTTACCTTATAATTTAATTTTTTTGCTAGAATGTCCAGTTATCAATGGGTTAGAAAAAACGTCTCCAGGACTACAATAAACCAAATCAAAAACTGTCACCACAAATCCAATAATCCTCTTTCCAAAAGTAGAATCAATATCAACTTTACTCTAAAAGTAAATCAAAAATATGTGATTCAAACTACCTAAAAAATTAAATGGTTTTTTTTTCAAAATAGAAACCAAATAAATCAATGCTTTATTAGACTCAATCAATCAAGTAGAACCTCCCTAATATTCTTAGTTGGATTACTTCTCAAATGCAATTATTTAGTTAATAGAAATCCTTAGTTGTAGTATGCTAAATCACCATCTGCTTTATATATCAATTTTATTTTGCCACCGAATTTTGAAGAGATCCTTAAAATCAAGTATACGTAGATAGTGATAAAGAATGTAGTTACTAAGAATATCACGTGATGATCCAGATATTCCATATTAACATTAAATGGGCATACCTCTAAGAGACCGACCTCACAGTATAAAGTTTAGAGGTATACATATTTATATTTATATTTATATTTATATTTGATTTGGAATTAGAATCAATGTAATATTCTATACGATATTTAGAGTTAATTATTCAATCAGAGGTTACCGTTTGTCTTACAAAGGTCTCAATGCTTTTCATGCTCTAGGGTTCCGTAACGACACAGTCACACGTTATGATTAGAATTTTACATACTATTTATTAAGTATTGAATAAGATATAAACATGTACTGTTATATAGCATACTATTTAGAAATTGCCATTTCTTCTTCTTTTTAGAGTAGAGTAGAAGGTTATGGGATGGTGACAGGGGGGAGAAGGAGGGCCACACCTGGTGTCAGCAAATACAATTCGAACAATTCTAATCGCTGACGTGGAAACAGAGATATTAATCATGTTAACCATAATATAGGGTGTGTGTGGGGGGAGGAGGGGGTGGAATAATAACAAAGATATAATAGTGTCATAAAGGAGAATAATATTAATAATGATGATAGTAGAGGGAAAAAATAATTTACTTTAGAATATAAGTTAAAAAAGGAGGTGCAGCAGGGCAGGAAGTCATTCGTATTCGAAGTCACACCGAAAGTCTGATGATTCGGAGTAGAATGAACAACCTTTTGAGTAAGTAATTACCCAACCATCCTCTTTTCAGGACAGAATAACACATACACAAAAACAAAACAGATAAACAATCAAAGATAAAAACAAATACATGAATAATAGCTTTCAACATTGTGACGTCATCAGATGGATCCATGAATCAAGATAAATCGCTGGAAACAATCAATGGAACGATAAAACAAAAATAAAAGAAAACAAAAAATAGAATAACGTTACGATGCAAAAGCTGATACTTCAAATCATTGCTTTTAAGATTGATTTTTCAAATTGTTACTCAACCATTCCAAACCTTCATACAAACCTTCACCAGAAGTAGCACAGGTGGCTTGGATAAACCAAGGTCTGTTTCTAATGGAATGCAATCCCAGTTTTTCAGTAATTTCTGCAGCAGACATAGCTTCTGGCAAATCTTGCTTATTGGCAAAAACCAACCAGACAGCATTCCTTAGTTCATCCTCATTCAACATTCTTTGCATAACTTCTCTTGCTTCTCCAATACGAGATCTATCGTTAGAATCGACAACAAAGATAACACCTTCAGTGTTTCTATAATAATGTCTCCATAAAGATCTGATTCTATCTTGTCCACCCACATCCCAAACAGTAAATGAAATATTTTTGTATTGAACAGTTTCAACATTGAACCCAATGGTTGGAATAGTGGTGATCACTTCCCCTAATTTCAACTTGTACAAAACTGTAGTCTTACCAGCACCATCTAGACCAACCATAAGGATTCTCATCTCTTTGTTACCAAAGAGGTTACTGAACAACTTCGATGCAAAAATACCCATTATGATATCAAATTATTAGAATAGACAAATCAAATAGGCAAAAAAAAAAGAGAGCACAAGTCTACCTGTAAGATACACAATAAAAACGTTAGTAACCCAAATTCATAAATCAATCAATCCAGATAATATTTAATATAACAGAAAAAACATCGATATTCAGCTTAGAGCCCAAAAACCTGACTCGATCTATTTCCTATTTTAAAAATATATAACTAAATCTAAAATCTAAAATCTCGATCTCTCTCCTCCTCAAATCCTTCTCAAACTTGTTCAAAACCAAAAACATACTAATTCAACTACAGATAAACTGGTATATCTAATATCCTTTACTAAACCCCAAACAAAGGATAAACTGTAACAACTATACCCAAAATCTAAATCACAATCCTTTATTTTATACCTGTAACTTTAATTTATTTCACTTTTTATTTATCCTTTTGATAATGTGAATCAAATCATTTTTTACCTTTAAAATTTGGAGGGGGAAATAGTTAAGAAAGGGAACTTCAAGGTATGGTGACCAGATCAAAATAATTTGTTATTGTAAAAGTCTAAGTGAACATTTGAAAGTAGGTGATATTAAACCTCTGTAATTAGAATTAACTATGCAGATTAAGAAATATGCATCTTATATATATATATGATATTAAAATGGAATACTACTAAACACGTAATCTATCTAGCGACGTCTGTAAAGTAAAATGGAAATTCTTGGATAATAATGATAATGATAATAATAATAATAATAAAAAGGTTATGCCAGGGTTATAATAAATTAATTGATGTATCTTTTGTTAATTGATGTAATTTTGATTTTGATCTTGTCCTTTTTCTTCCTGTTCTAAGTATAGAGAAAGAGGTGAGATCGATTCTATTTGGAATGGACAACTGCACATAAGCTCTTGAGTAGAGGAAGGAAAGAATGGATATTCGAATTGGGTTAAGGTAGTAATAGTAGTAATTATAGTTATTTTTTTTTTTTATTTGCATGGTTTGTCTTGATTCTATTTTTTCATTCTAATTGTATTTATGTTCATTTGGTCTTGTTGTATTTTATCTTTTATTCGTTTGGTATTGTTAGCTATGTTTAAATATTCATTTGAACTTGGAGGCAGAGTTGGAGGGGTAGAGAAACAACTGTTGTTTGCTTATTATTGTATTAGAAGATGAATGACTTATCAGTTGTTGTAATGAGAAAAACAAAAACAAAAATATTAGTAAAAAAAAATAATAAAAACAAAAATAGAGCCATCACTCATTTTCCGACATTAATTTTACATGTAGAATATTTTTGCAAACCTCTAATGAAAACCAAATAAGATACTTGATCATTATCAGCTTCCCAATGGAATTCAGTTAAACGTATATGCCATGGTGGGAAACCTTGTAGATCTAAAGCCGGACCGAAATATAGTAATAAATCAGGTTCATGACCAACTAATTGAGTTAATTCTGTATCGATTAATTTCATTGTAATATCAGACAATTCCAAATCGTGAGATAAACACAATTCACTCATAGTTCTTGTTAAATCAACAATGGTTTCTCTACCATCTCTGTTTGATAGCAGTGAAATTTCAATTATAACTTTTTCACTTTTCGCATTATAATTTTCATCATCAGCTCCATTGTAATAAACTTTGTTCAAATGTGGAATTCTTATGGCAAAATTTGGTGTATCTGTTGGACCAAAATACAATGATAATTTCTCTGCAATTTCACCTCTTAGAGATTGAACATTTGTCTTTAAAACACCGTCAAAATCATATAACATCAAATGCTTAATGCCAGCAGATACTGTCCAACATACAATTTCACTTGCATCGTTAACAATACCTTTTACACCTCCACCAACTTCTCCGATTGGTTTCATATCTAATATAGCAGCTAATCTTTTTGGTACTTTTGACAGTTTTAAAACATCTTGTCTAATCAATTGAGGTGTGCTTGTGGGATTGTAGATAATGTTCAAAACTCTCAATCTCATCTTATTATATTGATATTGGAAGTATCTAAAGATACCAAACACAAAATATACTGAAATCAATAATATTTTAAACACTATAAAATGCAACTGAGTTACCCAAAAACTATCACGTTTCATCGCTTTAAAATTTGGATCATTTTGATTACTTTCGTCACCAACAATCATAGCATCAGCAATAGATTTTAGAACATTTAATTTTGAAGTATGTTTTGTATTATATATAATACTTGCTTCTGGTTCCCTATGACGACTTGCTGCAACTTGTCTTTCTGCTTCACTCTTATGCTTACTTAAAACTTTTTCGTGAATTTTACTCATTGTGATATAATCTTTAAGAATTTTCTATATGTATCTATATTCCAATATTTTGTTCGAATCCAAAAGATCTTTCTGTCTACCTTTTGAATATCTCTGTTATTTGAATTATCTGATATAGTTCGGTCTTTTGAAGCAAAGGAACAAGTGTATACAATTCAACAGAATATAAGAATTATTTCTTCTTAGTTCTGTTTTTTTTATCACCTTCTAAAATCAATTTCAAAATCCTTAATCAAGCTATCAAATAAAATAAAATGATATAATCAACAATAATATTTACTTGTATCTGATTGTCGTCAAAATAGCAACCTCTGCCAATGTATTCTTGTTTCTGTTTTTATCAAAATATAAACTGATGATTGACTAGTTTTTCCAATATTATTATATTCACTGATAAAAATGAACTCTAAAAGTGAAACTAAATACACGTTAACGACAACCAATAACAAGAACAATATTAACAAGTTTTCTGAATTGCTAGATATAGGAAAATTTATAATATATAATCTTTTATAGTTCTTGCTTTGTATAAACAATGCTTAAATATTCTTAATTTAAAGGTAAATTAAACTTGAAAAGTCAATAAAAAGAGACAATCCCCTTTTGTTGAAAAAATATTGATCGTATACAATGATGATCCATTGAATCATATCAATAAAGAACTATACATTAAAATGTCTAGTATAGAAAGTATATATATGTACATATATATATATATATATATGAAACGTTGATAAGATGGGACCATATCTTATTGAACACCTGGTCTATGTACCGGGAAGGTTGGGGGGAGAGGAGGTAGGTAGATTGAGAGTAGATGTATGCGTATACTGCTTCTTGAATCATCGATTTATGATGATTGTAAGAGAAATTGAGATTTTGTTTATTTGTGCATATTTGTGCATATTAAATTCAATTCTGTTGACCATTGAAATAATGGATAGTTATATTCTATCTTACATCTTTAGTTATATATATCTTTGTTTCATTTTTTGTTGTGTCTCCCTCTCAGATTTTATTGCTTCTTTTCTTTTTGAGATGCATCAATTGAGATAGAAACAAAAATAAAATATACACAATTTATTATTTGTTCCTGATTCATTGTACAAATACTACCCATCTTCTTCAAATTGCCACTGTTTATTATAATTACAATGGCATTGTCTCCAAAATTACCTCGTTAACAAAAGGTAAATGTTAATTATTATGAATAATATCATTCAATTCAATGTATTCTTGAAATTTTTGTAACTCTGAAGACAAACGTGATTCATTCCCATCACGCTCATAGTTTATCAACTTGTTCAACGTTGCAATAGGTTTAGCATTAATTGATTCTGTATTATCAAATTCTTCCTCCATTGTAGCGTCGCTACTAATCACGTTCTCAGTTAAAAATGCTTTAGATCCTTCTCCGAAAATAGGTAGAACATCTTGACCTATAATCTTGCGTCCTCTAATATAATTAACATATACTTGCTTGGATTCATCAGCAACATCATTATTCAATACTTCCATTTCCTCGTTATCCATATTAAAATTATCAGTAAACTCATCGCTAGGGCCATTGTAACGAATCTTACAAGGAACCAAATGACCTAAATACTCTTTGGCAGAGTTACTACTCGATAAATCAATTGAATTCATTATTACTATAATAATTGTCTTGTTAGATTCATATGGATTTCCTCTATATCTATCTCTATTTTATCTATATCATTCACATGAATTTAACGTGCATTTAACGTGTATTTAATGCTATTTTTCGTTTTCTTCTTATAAGCCAAATAAACTTAGAATTGATATTAAAAAGAGATCACAATTGGATTTAAAAAAAGATAATAAGCACTGTTGAAGTTTAATCGCAACATCCTAAGAATAGGAAACCAACCCAATCACAATGGTACAGCAGGCTCCATTCCTGTTTGGAAAGTATGTACACTGTTAAATCATTATATTTTTTTTTCGATGCTTCTTAATTTTGCACCAATATTGAATTGATTGGAACAAACCATAGCAACAAGACAACTAACTGATTATATTCTTATTATACAGGTTTCTAGACCCATTTTTGGCATTTGTAGTTGGTACTACAAGTTACTATGCCTTCGAATATAAGACTAAACGTGAAGAAGGTCATTATTTAAATCAATTATTAATGAAACGTTGGAATGAACGTGGTAATGTTGAGAAAAATGATAAATAACATTAATATATAACATGTAAATAATCTAATTATAAGAGATAATATAAGAGTAATAAAGATCAACTAACATCATTATTGTTTGTATAACTCGCAGATTTTTTGATTGAAACGACTTTAATCCCTTAAAGGTGTGTGTTCATTGTGTATTCATTTTACTAAGTTAGCTAGTTTGCATATAGTATAATCACATAGTCTATCACATTTAAGAAACAATAAATAAACTGAAAGTTTCTAATATCCTTTGGTAATTGAAAGTTGTTATATATACTCTCTCTTGGGATAATCTGTCTATGCATAAGAGTGTACATCACGTAATAGAATCTAATTTAATAGCATATTTACCAGTAGCATTATAAGCCGAATAACAAACAAATCAAGCCAACAAAAAGTGATAAAATTCAGTTTTAATAAGTATAGTAAAACACAAGAATAAAGAAACAAACTTGGATGTATGGTTTAGCAAGGATTACAATTACAACTACGACTACATTCAATAGAGCATAGAGTATTGAACCCTAATATATATTTCACTAGTTTAAATTTTTTCTATAAACCAAAAGACATACAATCGAATGACATATAGTAACAACAATTCCCGTCACTTAATAGTTACAATTGAGTGCCATACACTAAATAACTCTTTTCCCACTTTGGCGACTGACATCCAGATCACGTGTTTGACCATTTTAATGATGAATCATGTCATACGAGTAATGTTTTTTTTTAGAAGATAACAGGCTGTAGTAGCTCTTGACTGTTAAGAGTGTATGTGGTTACACAAAAACGATATCAAAAAAAAATATAAAACAAACACAAAAACCACAAAATTATTTAATGATCTTAAAATTCATTTGATTTTGATTATAAACCTCTCATATATAAAGAAACACAATAAAAGTTTACAAGTTTAAATATCTGATAGCACTAAATAGACATCAGAGAACCCTATTAACCAACAATATCATTGGAACTTTTTGATTAGAACAGTGATTTAATTGTCCAGTATACTTTTTACATGGTGTTTAGATATTAAGGGAAGACTATAGAGGTTTTATTTCATTTTATTTTATTTCGTTTTGTTTTTTCTTTTTGTTTTTATTTGTCTTTACCAATTGCATTTTTGAACTGATTTCATTTAATCAAGGGAACTCATTCTACATACCCCCCATTCTGTCATTTTAATATCCAATTGCTTTAATTTTCATTTTCACTTTTAACCTTAGATTTCAAAATTAATGCACAATGTCAACTGGTTTGGTGGAGATTTTGCAATCTGCAGAGGATAAAAGACATACTTTGCTCACTTGGTGCATAGAAAATTATTCAAAATTGTACTCTTTAAACAATAACAATGATACAAGCAAAGTTAATGTCGCAAATACAATTTTAAATGAATTGGATCAATTCATTTGTAAAATTTCCTTATTTAGTGAAGATAACGCAGAAGTATACAATTCTCATTATATCTTTATAAGAATATCCCAACTATACTGTTTATCTCTAACTATAGTGAAGAATGAACACCCAGGTAAAATATTCGATTCTGGTGAATTATTAAATAAAATTTTATCTGAAGAAAATATTACAAACTATATCAATGATTCAACCGACAACAATAACAATAACAATAACAATCCAACGGGCACATCTACTGCTAGTACTAGCAACAAAAAATTGAAGAAAATTTACTTGTATACACCTGCAAAAGATTTGGCATGCACTATCTTAATTCAATTACATGAAATTTATGGTCACGATTTATCATCATTAGCAAGTTTAATTTTAACCACCATCTTTAAAAACTTGAAGAAATTAATGGAAAAATCGAAATATAATCATGCAAACTTTATGATTTTATTGCTGAAATTATATAATTCAATTTTAAGAAATTCAAAAAATCACAACTCTGATATTTTCACTACTTTCCAATCAAAATTTGTAAAGTTATCAAAAAATGTCTTTAGTGACATTTATAATGATAAGCAAGATTTCCCAGTAAACTTTATTTCAACCATTATAGAAATCTGGAAATTTAATTTTATTAATGACACTTTCATAAAAGACTATACAAAGGGAAACATCCTAGATACATTATATTTGAAGTTCATTGAACACGAAATTGGTATTTATGGGTTTTCTAATGATTATTCAAGATTGTTAACTTCAAAGACTTTATCAGAAATTTTATTCCATTACTATAAAGTTAAAGATTTAGTCACTTTGGATGAGATCTGGTCTTTCTATGTGAAAGTATACACAAATTCAATTTCAAGAGATGTAAAATCAGGATGTTTCGAATCGATTATTCATTTCATTTGCTTATGTTTGGCAATTGATAGTAACTTCCTCTCTGGAAGTAATTATTTACAAATCATAAGATCTCTGAGTAATATTTTAAACGAACTGGACTCAATCGACTATAAAATGGATGAATTATCCAGATCGTTAAGATATTTGAATAATGTAAACAAACTATTATTACCAAGATTAGGTGATTTATCTAAAACCGAAATTTTATTTGGTATTGTAGGAACAAATGATAGTGAAATTGCAGAGTCATCTGATGAATCGCTTTCCATTAACTGTAGCGTCAAAAATCAATGGTTAACAATTGTTCAACTGGAACTTGCTGATTCTTTAATCACGTCTTTGTCATCTTCTTTTGGAACAGAAGAAAGAATCGTTTTGAAAATGAAGGAAAAGTTATTACGATTGGCCACTTGTGATATATTCAATATTCGTATTCGTTCAATTAAATTATTAAAGAAGTTTTTCTTCAATTTTCCGGAATATTTATCTGATACCATTGAAGACTGTTTAAAATCATTAACAAACGATTTTAACTTGAAGGATAATCAGTTCATATTTAATAAGAATCACGGCAATTCCCTGCTAATCACAAATTTAATTGAAATCTCTGATAAAAATTATGTTTCTTATGAATTAATAATGAAAATCACTATTTTCGCAACAACTTTTATTAAAAAGCATACAACTTCGACACACGCAAATTTATACTATAAAGGAATCGTGTGTTGGATCTTATTGATTGGTTTAATGAATTATAATGATGACCAATATCTTGCAATGCAATCATCTCAACTATTTTTATTCTGGAAAGTTTTACTAACTCATTCATTTACTTACCATAATGAAGACGAGTTATATAAGAATTTGGAAATTAGGAACCATGCGTTAACATGCTTATTAACCTTTCTAAATAAAACTAAAGTCGACAAAGATATGGCGAGACAAATTTCGTATTTATTAACGAAATGTTCTAATTTCAACCATTCTGTAACTTTGAAATCCAAAAAGCTTGATAGTGTTCTATTAATGAATGAAAACAGAATCTTACAAATATATTTAAAAATACATGACTTTGTTAAGGCTGATTTTAATAGTTCATTATTAGTGTTGATTGTTAAGAATTTTTCGAATCCAAATCTATATACAGAAGTGTCTCATTCAATATTTTCATCCCTTTCTGGTGGTGATAAAAACTATAGATCCAAAAATGAAGGTAAAGAAGAAACTATTATGGAGACAACGGTGAATAATTTGTTACGCTTAAATGACGATTTTGCTTTTGGTTTGTCTAGTAAAGTCAACGGAAGCAATGTTTTACAATCTAGTATTAAATTATTGAAAAAAACTTCATCAACATCGGAGTTTAATATGGAGTGGAACCCAAATGACTATTATTGGTATTCTTCCTTCGAAAATGAAGTTCTGAAGCCCATCTCATCTTCTTTATCTGTTGATTATTTGGTAATGTTATATGAAAATCAAGATTTAAACACATCCGAATTCCACACCTCACCAAGAGTTACGACTTCAGTAGTCGATTCTTCAATGGATATTTTTTCTTTGGTTTTCCCATATTTGAATAACAAAATCCAATCTTCAATAATAGAAAACCTAAACTTATCGATGTTTTCAAGAACTATAACCCCATTGAGAAGGATAGCTATTGCTGCAAATGCATGTGTAGCTATTCATAATTGTTTATCTATTATTCAAGAAAGAGATCTAAGCTTGGATGAAAATGTTGGTCAATTATTGATTGACTCAATTAAAAAGATCGAATTCTACAACGACAGTTACATTACTCAATTAAAAGCTGATTGTATAGGTTTAACTATTGCCGCAATGGTCAGAAATTCTCCGGAAGAATTAAAACGTGATATCATTAAGAGGCAATCACATATTTTAATTAACAATGTTGTTGAGGTCGACGAACCTCACTTCAGAGTATTCCATGCTTTATCATTAGCATCTATCTTCAAATATAATCCTAAGTTTACTTCTTTCGAGACAATTTTGGAAGTTATTATCAGTTTAGTTAAAGATCCACACCCAGTTGTCCATTCATGGTCACTAAAGGCATTGCATATCTTACTTGAAAAACATTTGGTTATCGATATTTCAACTACAGCTAAGCTGTTGGGTATTTTGGAAAGTGTCCTAACAAATCCTTCCTTTGGTATCTATGGTTCTTCAATTTTACGTTATAATTACAACAAACAATACGATTCACATATTGTAATTAGTCAAATTATTAAAACTTTGACAGAAACTGTTGGTCCTAATATCCCTGAGCTACCCAAGAGTTCTATAGAGTCATTTAAAAACCTGACTATTAGTGGTTTACTTTCAAGCAATATTGTTTGTCAAATGTTAAGCACAAAAATCTATGAAAATATTGCAACCTTTAAGTTAGCAGGTATCATGAATGATACTTTATTTATAAGGTGTTCTATTAGGACAATTGTCGATGTTATAAATATCGGTATTGGATCCAACTATTTTAACTCCAATTTTACCTTGTCCCATGAAATTATTTCTCATACTGCAAGTTTAAAAGGCGCGTTTGAGTGCTTTAAGTTATTTGGACAATTATTCAAACTACAAAAGAAACAGTTATTTGTCAAAGACATGGATAGTTTAAGTTGGATCTACTTAACATTATACCCAGATTCTCCTTGTGTGATGCAATATTTTGTTGAATGGATTGATTATAGTGTTGAAGATGATCAGTATTGGTTTGACAAGCTTTATATGCTTTTCAACATGCCTAGATCTAAGATTTTTGATAAGTACAACAAAACTATCTCACAATTATTTAAATCAAAGGAATATAATTCTATTCAAGAGGCAAAAATAAAAGGTGAAGAAGAATTATCAATCAACGATAATATAGGTGATATATCTGAACATAAAGAGGCCGATAAAGCACAATGGCAAACAAAGCAAGTTATTCTAATTTTAATAAAGCATTCTTTGGAGCTAAGTTATAAGAATAAAAAAATATTAAATACTTTGAGTAAGCATGTTCCTGAATTAATTAGAATGGTTTGTCAGGCATCGGCAATGAGAATCAGAACTATCAAATCTTTAGGTCTTGATATTTTGAAGTATATTCTAGATATATTTTCAAAGGTTAAAGATACTGAAATACCAGAAAATTCAATTCTAAGTCAGCAAGAAGCTCAAATCATTAGTGCATTGATGCCAACGTTCAACAAAGGTACATCTCCCGATATTGTTGCGTCTGCAATCAATGTAGCCGCAGAGTTCCTTGCTTCTGGTGTTGCTCCTTTAAATAGATTGGGAAGAATATCAAGATTATTGATTGAATTATTAACTAGTTTTGACGAAAGAAGTTCATCTATTGTTGTTGGTGAATCAGTGATTATAACGCAGAAAGCAAAGAGAAAGATCGAACTTTCTTTACTAAATGCTTGGGCTGGAATGGTCCAAACTTCATTACATTCTGATAACGAGGAATTGATTACTTTTACTCAAGGCTATTGGAGTACTTTGATACCTCTTTGGATTATATCTCTTCGTGAGTATGTCATGGTTAAGTATGGTAATACCAACATCAATGGAATGAATTCAAATGATACCTTGTTAGAATCGAAGAAAACCAAATTAGAATTATACGAAGATGTTTGGTTAAATTTTGTTGAAGTATTAGGTTCTTTATTAGATTATGATCAGAACTTAATTCTAAAATGTTTGAATAAAGAGGAAATCGAAAGTTTCATGTTCATTCTTTTCTCACAATGTTTGGAAGCAATTGTAATTAATTTTGATAATCATGACGTTAAATGCAGGGTTCTTCCAGCGATTCATAACGTTTTGAATTGTAAAGTTCCGCTAACGTTGTTATTTGATAATGACGTCTATCCAGAACTTATTAACATTCTAGATAGGATTATTTTAACTGGTGAATCTGATGAAAAGCTAATTGTCGTGAATATTATCAATGATCTAATTAGTGGATATATTATTCAAAATTCTAGCCAAGAGTTGTTTTTACAAGGTATTGACAAATTGTACGAGTTGCTACGATTATTAATGAACGTTATATCTGAATTGATCCCATTCATCAAATATAATGCCGTTGTCGAACCCGGCAGTGGTAAAAAAGCATTTACCAAGGTAGACACTGAACTATTGAAAAGCGCATTTGCTGTTTTTGAATTGAATGTTAATAAATTTGATGATGTTTTTAAGGAAGATTTATACTCATGTCTACTTTTTATTATTGGACGAATTTATGAAGTTGACAACAGAAATGATATTGTCCCATTAATTTTGCCATTACTAAAATCAATTATTTATAATATTCTCCAAAATGGTACTCATGTTACATTGTTGGACGTTTTCTATGACTCTACCAAGAGTGTAATATTCAATGAATTAAGTAAGGAAAATAAAATTGCTACCATTCTGATATTGTTGACAACTGGATATAGTGGATTTTCTAGAAAGGAATTAGATTATACATCTGAATTATTACTTTCAGCTGTTAATGATCCAAATACAAGTATTGTTGCAGAACGTGGTTTACAAAGAATTTTTAACAATTCTTTAGATATGCCAAGCTGTTCTGTAATATGTTTGAATGTAATTAAGAAATGTGCCGAAGATTTTGATCAAGAGGTCTCTACAGAACAAGCTAATTTGAGGTTAAATTTAATATCAACTTTTACCAAAAATATATTTGCAAAGGATAAATCAAAATTTCAATCTGTTTTAGCATTATATTTATCATTTGTGATTTGGTTCTCAGAATTATCCACTACGGAAAACAAGACGGTTGCTAATATCATCGTAGAGTTAGTTCAACTTGATCCTGATTGTTTCAAAAATGTTGTAAATAATGTCATTACTTCAAAACAAAAGGTTAAGATTGAACAAATTGTAGAAGAAGCAACATTGGAATCTTCAAAAGTTAGAGACAATGAAAACGCTTCTGTAGCTCTAAAGAACTTTAACTGATTCTGAACAGATCTGTCAAAGGAACCTTATTTCCTGTTAATTTAAACTTTATTTAGTTGCGGTTACCATTTCTCTTTTTAGAGAGAATTGGCTTCACTTGACCGCAGGCACGTATTACGCATCTGATAGGCGTAACATCGCCATTACACAGTAGTGAAAAAATTAAAATAAATTATAATGATTGATGAGATCAAAATCAATAAAGGCATTTTAAGAACGATATAGATTATTTAGTAATATTATTAGATAGACTTTAACTAAATTAAGTATTATATTCCATAATAAGAATGAGTATATAATTATAAAAGTGTTCACCAATGAGTTATAAAGCTTTTGCTTCAGGAGTTGCTGGTATCACTGTCGGTACAGGTATTGCTTCATATTTTTTTGGTAGGTCATCGTCTCAATCAACTGCTACTCAAACATCATCACTTCCAGTTCCAGTGTCTAATTCTGATAGACCAGATGGATCTTTAACAGCTAAAGGCAGCAACATTGATCCTACTGGATTTTTCAAATATGGATTTCCAGGTCCAATTCACGACTTAGCTACTAGAGAACAGTTTATTTCTTGCTATAATAGACAAACAAGAAATCCATACTGGGTCGTTGAACATATCACTCCAGAATCTTTATCTCAACGGAATTCTGATAGAAAGAATTCCATCTTTTTAGAAGATGAGGCAATTCCAGAGAAGTTTAGAGGTAGATTGAAAGATTACTTCAGATCAGGTTATGATAGAGGTCATCAAGTTCCTGCAGCAGATGCAAAGTTCTCTCAAAATGCTATGAATGAAACATTTTTTTTAACCAACATGTCACCTCAAGTCGGTGAAGGCTTTAATAGAGATTATTGGGCCCATTTTGAACATTTCTGTAGAGGTTTAGTTGGCACTTATCAAAGTGTACGTATTGTCACTGGTCCACTATATTTGCCTAAAAAGGATCCAGTTGATGGTAAATTCAGAGTCACTTATGAAGTCATTGGTAATCCCCCAAGCATTGCTGTTCCAACCCATTTCTTTAAATTAATTGTTGCTGGAAAACCAAGAAAGATCCAAATTCATCATCAATTTCTGTCGCTGCATTCGTAATGGCAAATGATCAAATTCCTAACGAAACAAATTTAACTTCCTTGAAGTTCCTTGTTGAACTTTAAAAGAAGAACGGGTCTTGATTCCTTTCAAAAGTTTCCGAATCCCAAAAAAAAAACTATTGCAAGAAGTTAATGTCAAAAAGTTGTTCCTAAATTGCCCAAGCATTGCCCCCCCAAAAAATTTAAAGCTCCTCCCCCTCCAAATAAAAGAATAAATTTTTTTTTTTTAAATAGAATAATTAAAAATTTTTGCTATGGGGTTTCCCTTTCCAAATGAAAGGGTCCTGAAAACACTCGAATGAAAAGGATTCCCTCTAAATGGGGGTTCCCAATTTCTTTATAGATTAAACCCCGCAGAGGGCTTTTATACACGGAATAACAGCACCCATTTTTT